AGCGTGCAAACACACAGGCGCATGGTGAATAAAAGAGATGAAGAGCGCTGGAATTGCGATGAAAATGTTCGAGAATGAGAGAGTGGAGACGCACGGTCCTACATTGTAGGTTTTTCGTATGCCCGTTGAGAGTGCAGAAGCGTTGATGTATGTTTTGTGTGAGATACAGTGAGGATTAGGTAGCGTTCAAGCCCGATGAATATTCATTTAGATATATTCGCGATAGAATATCAACGGTGATAAATCAAATAAGCTGCGGTTTTGATCATACGGCAGCGCAACCGAGTGTTTTTTGCCGATCGAAATCTTTGTGCCCCACATATATTCGTTGGTCGTGCCAAGTAATACCAAAAATTGCGCACACCGAAATCAAGCTAAATCGCTTGCAGCAGATTTATTTTCTTGAGTTGTTTTCATTTAAAGTCACCACCAAAAACGATTCATCCTTAACTGCTGCCATGTAAGAGGCTCACTCTCACTCCCGGTATGTGTGTGTGTGTGTGTGTGTGTATTTTGGTATGTCACATCAAATATACAAGTGCTCTGTCTCTTTCCCACAGTATTTCCTTTAGCAATTTCTGTTTATTTACAACCAAAAACCAAGAGAGGGAAAAAAATAATAAATTGTATTTAAAAAGAAGATTGATGACTGTTTGTAGGTTGTTCGTCGTCGACGACGGCGTCGGCGGCGGTGGCAGTATTGAGAGATTTTCCTCAAGCTTGCTCCCTCTATCTTTCTATCACGTTCTGTTTCTCTATCTTTCTCAATCGCTCACATTGGCTTTCAAAACCGGTGTTTTTCGGTTTTGCACGACTATTCCCTGTGTCACCCGTATGCCATTCATGCCAATCGCTTATGAAATTTTATTCAACAGCGTCGAACGAACTCAAACAATGCGCTACATTCCAGCAACCGCTCCATTATATTCCGATATAAAAATGGGCATACACGACGAGAGAGTGGGAAAAGCATGCGAAAAAAAAAAATCACAATTGAATGAAGCGCACCAAATATATCCGTCATCTCTGTTGAAGAAGTAAAAGAAAAGGAAATAAAAACACACAGAGAGAGAGAGAGGGAGAGAAAAAAGAGAATAAGGAAATTCCATGGAATAATTGATATCTTTTGAAGCGCATTTCGTGTTTCGTGCTTTCTTGGCGGCCAAATAATCGCTGATTTATTAATTGTCGTTTAGAGAATCAGAATGAAATATTGCCCCAAATTCAGTAGCGTTTCGTTGCCAACATGAATATTGAATAGCTGATATTACGATATTCAACATTTGAAGCGATTTCTTTGTAAAATATGTACATAAAATGGTTTTTATCATGTTTCACATTGAATATCGCAATCGGATTCCACATTGGAGGGCCATTTATCGAAAATATCCATTCATTTGTCCAGTATATACTGTATAAATAGCATAGCATACATTGTAATATTCGGTGAGTGCCACTGAACAAATATTCATACTTATTTAGTGCGTGAGACGCACGCGGATGAGATGAAGCAAAGCGAAAGAGAAGCGGGCAACACTTCATACGAACGAACGATATAGCGCACATACATTTCGTCACTCCGTCGTTAGAATACGGACACAAACACAAACACAAACACAAACACCCCATTGACTCTATGTTCTAGTTGCGCGCTTCCCTTTCGCTTTGCTTCATCTCATCTGCATGCGTCTCACTCACTAAATGAGTATAAATATTTTTTCAGTGGCACTCATCGAATATTACAATGTATGATAAATAGTCTATTGAGATTATAAATGCTACATCGAAGTATTAAAAAAAAGGTTCAAATAAACGAGCAACGGAAGACTCTCGCTGATTTTTCCTGTATACATTTGAAATCGTACAGAAGCCAACGATATTGTGTATTGATTCGGTTAACAATTACAAATAAATATACGACATTTGTTATGCCAATTCATTTGAATGAACGGAGCGCGACTGGAATGATTGGAGGACCGTATGCCAAATTGAAATTATATTAAAATTGATAATTGCCTTGGAAAAAGGCAAGCTTATTATTGTATTCGAATTTTGAACGCTTTCCAAACAAATATACATACAAATTAACCCACAAACAAGCATTAACGCTAAACTACTTTGCCAAATGGGATTTTCTCTCTTCATCTCCATCTCCCTGCCTCCATTCCTTACACTCAATTGAACGCAATTCGGTGGGGGATGAAACACTAAACAGCTATAAAATGTTGATACTTATTCAATTTTAAAGTCGCGCAAATGATTTAGCACCCATGAAACAGAAACAGGCTTAGGCAAATGATAATCAAAACATCGACGAACCCTTTTCACAGTAATTGAATTGGCCGATGATGGGGTGGCATGCAAACGATGAAATCAATTCAAACCAAGCATTGGTTTTCGGGTGTGCTGTACGTGCGCTCATTCGTTCGTCTGTTTGTGTTGGACTGAAATCCGAACAATGTTAAATTGTCAGCAATTTGTATCCGCGACTATGTGTGTATGTGTGAATGTGTGCCCATAATTTCGACAAATTCGACTTATATTTATATGCCATATTCACAAGCTGACACCCAATGCTTCCGCTTGAGTGTTAAAAATCCCATTGCGTTCGCATCACATGTGTACGCACACGGTCCTAAAATGCCTTCATATCGTTTTATTTTGGCCAGGGAATAACAAACGATATGTATTTTGTGGCAGCACTTTTCGGTATTAATTTGTAGGGGCCAACGCATCATTCGAATTAAGCATAAGTCGACAAATGCTCAAGAATGCTATAGCTATGCCATGAATCTGACGATCTGTGTGATGAAGCCAATGTGATGGACTGGGCCATGTTTTGTGCTGTTGATAATCGGGCGCATACCGCTCACTCTCCCGCTCAATTTTCATCCCCAATCTTTTTTTCTAACTATAAACAAACAGTCATTCATACTATGCATTTATTTATATGCACATCAAATGAACGTTTTGGATAGCATCGCATAATCACATAGTGCTCCCCATCACCGAACACACGCACACACACATCTACCCACACATACACGCATTTATCCGAAAATAATGAGAACGTGTTGTGTGAACGCTTCAAACGCATCACATTTTTTTGCATTGCTTACCGCTTTGCACATAATTTAAATATTCAAAATGAGTGTTATTATGTGCCAGTACAGAGTACACCGAAACACATAAAATCCGTGTAAGTAAACGAGATGATTTGATTCCCGTGTTGAACGCTCATGAGACCTCTTTTTATCTGTCCCTTTCTCCCTACCTTCGTTACGAACAGAGATTCCATAGAATCTCTATCCCACTCTCTCTCTCTCTGCCTCCCTCTCTCTCTGTGTAAGCAAAATCAGATCGTGTACAAGAGAAAATGTGGCATACAAATCTGCTTGAATATTTACCAAACAAATTTAAGAAATAAATTTTATTCACAATTTCCATATGCTCAAGTGTTTTGCGAAAGCAAAATACATGGATTAATTCGAAACGGTGTCGAAGCATACGTATACGTCGTAGGTACACTTGTATGCCAACAAACTGATAGAAGCGAGCAACGGCAAACACTTGATTCTGATGAGAGAATTTTATTGAATTTTGGGATGTTGTTGCTGTTGTTGGTGGTGGTGGTGGTGGAAAAGGAGCAGTCATTCGAATGTACGTATACACATCTCGTTTCAACCGGAAAAACGATAGACCCGGTAATATTTCGCAGCATAGTCACTGTACACGCGTTCCACTCATTTCAGCACCATCAAATCTGTGTGCTATGCATTGAAATGAACGGCACATTCATTGAATATTCATTCTCATCAATTATGATAAAGTATTGGTTTTCTTCAACACAAACTAACACATTCGAACACAAATGTGATGAAATGACACGGCCAAAAATGTTGCGGCCAATACGATTGGACGCGACGGCGGACAGTAACTCAATGCATGCACATAATTTACTCTTAAGAGGACATTCAACCATGCCATATCATTTTTCTTTGTTTGTTCAGATATAGTAAATGATTTGTGTGATTTCAAGGTTGCCTTGTGGCAAAAAGAGCAAAAAAAGAACCGTGCTAGAGTAAAACGCTTTGTTGTTGTCATTTCAAATTAAATTGCATGTCTGTTTGATGCAACCAGTTTGGTTTTTGTATTTCCCCATTTCATCTGTTCGCGGAGAGTGAGTGAACGGGTGTGTGTGTGTATGTGTGAGAGAGTGAGAGTAAGAGTGAGATCGCATGTGTGTTTAACTGTCGTTATTCAGTTCAGCACTCCTCAGCATTAACATGTGTTTATTGCACGAATCAAATAACAAGCGAACAAACGATTATGTCAAAACAAAGAAAACATTCAAATAAATTGCATGTGATAAGTTGATGGCACAAGATGAGAGAACGGGGCTCGTGCATACACACAAATGAATTTTGCCGGCATCACCGTGTTCTTCATATGAACGCGATTTGATAAAAATTCAAATGCAATCCACGAGTCAAAAAATCAATAATGTCTTTCAATAAGCCAAGACAATTTGAACGTGTGTTCGATCTATTGCGGGAACTTGACTCAAGAAACGTCAAACCATCAGTTTAATCGGTATGAGAAGAATAATGTGCATGCTGTCGATTTTTTATTAAATGAAAAATCGTGTGTGTTGTCCCAGTTCCAGTAGCGCGCGAACACAATATGTATAAGATCAATTGGTAAAATGTAGCGGCGCGGCAGGCCTGAAAACGAAAATCAAGCGACCAACCGAAGCAAGACAAAAGAAGCAAAGAAGAATGTGGTTCAAGACATCGTAAGAAATATATACGCACCGTACACACATTGGTATAAATCGTGTTAACGAAATCAACATCAAATACAATAAGGTACGTTCCAGTGTTTCGTGCGGAAGATTGTGTGCAATGAATATAATAAAACGGCAGCAACGCCAGCAATCACACAGACACAACGTATCAACAACGAAAAATTAAAAAAGACAAAATGAAAAGAAACGAGAAACGTTTCACTCGTTGTAAAATACATTGCGTCTGCCATATACCCACGTTGGATTTTTGTTAGACACCTCAGTCTTATTGTTGTTTCCAGCCTTAGCGCATATACAAACCAACGACCGAATCGTTTGCAGCCAATTCATTATTATTAATCGAAATTCGTGCAGAGAATTTATTGTAAACAGTATATAGTGAGTTGCGCGTGTGCATCGCTGTTCTCGTCTTACCGTTGAAATTCTGTGCTCGTGCGGTGTTTGATAGAATTCGTTGCATTTATTTTTGGTTTCTCTTGTTTTTTTTTTACATTGGATAAAAGAAACACAAGCGGGAAAAAATCCAATCATTCTCTCTGGAAGTTCAACCGATTTCATTTACCTTCGAGAAGCTATTTGATCAAAATATATGTAATTATTTTATCTATTTATTTAAAAACAATGATTCCTAATTCCGATGTTATGTTTGTCATTTTCGCTCAGTGATTCTTTGATTTTATTCGACCTCTTTCATATGATGATAGCACAATCAATCACCTGACGTCAATAACGAATTAGACATGCGCTCTATAATAAAATCCATTGTATGGACTGGAATTGAGTAATTTGAATTTAAAATCGAATAAATTTTGCTACATTTTAACACAAACGAAATAAAAAAAAAAATAATTAAAAGTGAAAGTTCAATTGAATGAATATCAATTTACATTTGATTTATTAAAATTAGCGGTGTGAAAATCAATTGAACAAATTTCCAATTACGTAGCTTGTAATCTGACCAATGTTCGTGAAAACCCAATGGTTTTTGCAAAACAAAAAACACACACGTTGCAAACATTGCTGAAATTACTTGTTATTTTGCACACAATTTGTTTACGTATTTAACCAGCTAAATTTACCTGATCTTATAAATAAACCACAGTATTTAGAATTTAATCGTAATTACTTGACACGAGACATCGCAAGTCTATTACGCAAATCAGCAATTTTATTAAGCATTCTTCTGTTTTTCTGTTTCATTTGTGTGTGTATGTGTCGCGGGAGCGAATTTTAATGAATGGAACATTTTCGTTTATGTCAATTCGTTCTATTTTCATTATATTGCATCGTGCAGAATAATTTGATAAAAATGTATTGATACAGTTGTCTAGCGTTGAAAGTTCATTCATTGTTTATTTTGAGATGGTTTGATTACCGGTTGCGGTTAGCGTCCATTTAATTTATGCAAAGTTGATGTGTTTTCGTAAACAAAATAGGAGGCGGCGGCAGATAAGTTAACGCACCGACTAAACAAAACGTGTTTTTTTTCGTGGAATTCGTCGGGTTAAGTGTGTGTGTGTGCTGCAAATTTTGCGTAGCAAAATATTTTCAAATAAATGTCGCCAGTGACATTTGGCGGTTTACAGGCAATCGTGTTCGTATGATTAACATTAACCGAAGAAACGAAATCTTTTGTTTTTGACAAGGATATAAAAAAAAACTAATTTTCTTTTTCTTCCATATTTCCAACGTCAATGTTTTTAGTTCACGCGAAAGGCGACAAAGTCAACACATGTTAAATATTCGATTTGACTTAAGCAATTTTTCTAGTTAAATCTAGCAATTTCCCGGTGCGATCGTCGTCGCTATTTGACCAAACGAGTATTTCGGTTGGGCAATCAATTCAATTACTTTCAAACAAGCGAAATAAAGCCAGATGCGATTAGTTCGTGTGTGTGTGTTGTTGTTGTTGTGTTTTTTTTCGAATGTACAAAAGTCACATGTTGGCTAAATTAATAGCTGAAATTGCAAGACCTGGGCGGCAGAAAATGCATTAGTACGCTGCACACGGCACACACTAACACACTAACACACTCATGCCGAAATTAAACGGTAACTATTCACTAGCGTTTGCTGTTCTCTGTGCAGCACACGTGCATTGAACGCTCGCGCGTTTCGTCTGCATTCGGCATTTAATGCACTCGCAAGCACTCCACTTTTCGTACGTGTTTTATGTCGATTACATGATCAATTGTAAAAGCCAAACAACACATCAACCGAAAAAAAAAGCAGGCACTAGCACCAGCAGTAGTGGTAGCAGCAAAAGCAAAAGGCGAAAAAATAATCAGAAGAAAAAGAAAAAGGTAGCAAAACACCAGCCAAACCATAAATGCATGAAGTCTTTTAATGGTAAACATGGTGCAGAAGTATTGCATGTATTTTGACATAGACGGCAATGATGCGAAAAAATGTGCCAATCCAAAACGGGGGTCTCGGAGCTCATACACATCCACACGTAAACATACAACAAAACACCATATTCTTATTCGTCTGTGTCTTCGTTCCGATGGATTCCATGCATTCACACGCATTTCACAATGTTTCACTTAAAAATCGATCAATGAACACATACACGCTCACACATGTACGAGCGCGATTATTGTCTAAAAACTAGTATATGGAGCGGTGCGGTGAACGATAAATTCATAGAGAATACCATTTAACCATTTAGGTGCATGATTATGATGAAATCCGGCAAAATGAATAATGCACATTGCACATTCATAGCATCCGTTCGGTGCTATTCACCGACACACAAAACAGAAAATGTGCAATTTAATTGATTAGAAACAAAAGGTTATGATCTAGTGAATATTTTGCATTTAATGTTTGATTAATCGCAATTACGACAAAGATTGATTTAATGTAATCGCAACCGTTAAATCAAAGAATAAATATCTTCATTATTTCCAGTGCATTGGTCGGATCGTTTATCTTCTTCAATTTATTTTTTACTTTCGGGTACAAAAATTAACAAAATGTCGTTAATTCGATGTTTTGCTGAACTCATTCATGCATCGTGTTACAAGTGAAATCACATCATTGTGCTACCGCACAATTTATATTTCATCATATTACAACATCACTTTCGATTTTTTTTTCTTTGTAAATTTCATTTTCTGGTTTAAGTATCGTGCACTTTTTTCTCTGGTTCACATTCGTTGTACCGCGCGTATGTGGTTTTGGTTTGAACAACAACAATAAAAAAAGATTTACCATTCAACGGTTTGCTGAATGGAATGAATTACATTCACCGAGGAAATTCAATTGCGTTGCATATGTTGTTATTGTGGCCGTCTCATTCGTTCTTTTAAATTAATTACAGCTCGTTTGCCGGGCTTTACTCTCTCTCTCTCTCTTTCTCTTGCTTCTCATTGCTGTGCCGCGCTTGGCCGAAATGGTCTCATTTCATAGCCCTTTTCAACGGTTTGGTGGGATATTTACAAATATTTTGCCATGTAAAAATATGCTTCAATTTCGATAAATTCCGTTAGCAAACATATTAATATCGGAGACGCAATCGCCAAAGACAGTATACAGTGTCTGGCCCGGTCAATTAACCAGTTCGTAAAACAAAGAAGCCAACCATAAGAACCGAAACACACGCGCACACATACACTCTCATCAAAACCCATGGCAATCTAATGAAAAGTACGTCTACGCATTGAAATTGCAATAGCAAACAGTAATAACAAGAGCACCATTTGATGGTTGTGTGACGACATTGTAGCAAATTTTCCACCTAATTACTTTTTTTCAAAAGAAGTCGAAACCACATCGCATTGACATTCCCACCGTATAGCCAAGCAGCAGCGAGTAATAAAATGAATAGGAAAACGAAATAACAAACCGAAATTTTGTAACCGAAAAAATATTTTTCAATCGAGGAATATTACTCTTTTCACTTTTTATGCGTTTCACTACTGTTGTTTTTATATGATATTGAAATCGAAATATTAAATATGTTTAAGTGTTACCAAAACGACCATAAAAGTAGTTTCGCTTCAATGAATCGGTACGGTCGTTTCTCGGTTGCTTCAGTTTAAAAAACAATTGTATCTATTGCTTTTCTTTTCTGCGTATGTGACGTTTTATGATGTCTCACGCATAAAATTAACAACTATATTAAATGTTGGCCTTGAATTGCGTGATTTAGTGTTTTAATATGTTGTCAACTTTGACAATGTGTGGTGACCATCAATGAACATGAATGACATTTTGTTGGGTTAATTTTTTTTTCAAGTGTGCTATGACCAATTTAATTGCAATAAAATGAAATGAAAATTTCTTTCTCATTGCCAGATTGACAGACAGCCGAAATAAAGTGAAGTAAATCAACAAAAAAAGAAAACAATAAGCGACACGAACGAGAGAGAAAGAGAGAGAGAGAGGCAGAGAGACAGTGAGAGAGAAGGAGGAAAAAAGAAGAAAACGAAATGGCTGAACACACAGCAAAATTCGAGACGCTCGACAGCGTTGAAGAGGATCGTGTGCGAAAAATGTATGCAAATCGCAGCATTCTCATAACAGGTGGAACTGGATTCTTGGGAAAAGTTTTAATTGAAAAATTTTTGAGGTAATTTTTTGTTTTTCATGTACCGCGTCATGCGGTGCGCGGTGACCATGTCATGTGCATATTTAAGTTGTTCAAATCACCCGAATGAATGTGCCAGTCCACATTCCGCAAGTTAATATTCTTTTTTTTCTTTGCCGCATTGCTTCTTTTCGTAATTTTTCCGCTTATTCATTCCATTTTTGTAGAACTTGTCCAGAAATAGAAAAACTTTATTTGCTCGTTCGCCCGAAGAGAGGTAGAGAACCATGTGACCGACTGGGAGACATCTTTAGCAATGTGGTAGGTAGCTGAATATTATGACATCCACGAATATTTGGTTGCGGTTCAGTTTGTGCTGCTGTGAAGTTATATTTTTGATTTTGATTCTCTTTCCTCTCGGTTCTTCACAAATGAACAAAAAAAACATTGAACATTGCAGAATATTCGCTTCTTTACATCTCGCCAAAAATCCATTTGATTTAGACAAATTCGAATGATTATCATAATAAAATGATCAATTTCATCCGAAAAATTTAAAAGGGAACGCTAAATCAGTGTCCATGTAAATGAATTAAATGGAATGAAGAAAGGTGGCTAAGTGCCGTGTCATTGTTGGCGTCGATGACGTTGGGGTATTAGTTTTCAACGTTTTGTTCACATTAACAGATTGTGATATGTGTCAAATTTCGCACCGTGTGGCCAATAAATTTTCGGTTCGGTTGCAATTCATACTTCATTTTATAACTGCTCTTTCAGCATATCGCTCGCTCATTTGACCTGAGCGCGCTCACGGTCTCGCTGGCAGTGATCTAATAATCCAAGGCCAATTTGTATTATCAATGTTTTTAATTGCTATGAATGTTAGACGAGAAATTTCAATGAGCATCAGCATCGTAAACGATGACAGCCGACCGTCAGTTGTTGGTGCTCAGTTGGTGTGTGTGTGCCCATTTCATAATCGAATCGAAATTGACTGAGAGCCGATGTGAAGAAGGCCATTATTCATTAAATTATACATATTAATTGATATCTAATAATGTCTCGTTCAATGGTCGAGACCAATTTTCATATTGAAATCGCCTTGTTGCTGTCTGTCTGAGCTGTTTTTGTGCGAAACGGATATTTTTTTGTTATTGTTTGGATTCATTTTACCGCAGACCATACCACGCGCATTTTTTTTGTTCAAATTGTCACAGCTGCAATTTTGGCTACGTGCTTTCAAATCAAGTCCGCAAATAACTTAAAAATTAATATAACCGTGATTTGAATAAAAAAAAAAACAAGAAAACGAGTATAGCCAAATTCCACATCAATTCAATCTTAAATCCAATCGAACAATACATTTTTTTCAAAAAGTTTCGTAGGTGATCTCTTTGTTGAAGAAACTATGAACCTTATTGCTTTTGCTATTTTAGATCCATTATCTGATTTTGTTACCTTGCTTACATTGAATATGATTCGAGTATTCGATACGAAAATTGAAATCTGTGCAGAGGAGCACGATATTTTCATGGCAGAAAGCAAACAAACAAACAAAAAACGACTTCAAAAGTATTTGGTGTTTTCTCGTGAATAGAGTTAGACGATGCGATGGATCATTCGTAGTGCTAAAACGATGTATGTTTGAATTTTCATTTTTCAGCTCTTTGACGGATTGAAGGAAACACGAGGACTGGACACGATCATTAATCAATGTCATGTGATTTCCGGTGATTGTTCTTTACCTGATTTGGGCATTTCAGACGACGACCGAAAATTGTTAGCCGAAAATGTGTCAATTGTTTATCATTGCGCTGCAACGGTGCGATTCGATGAAACGTTGAAGCGTGCTGTTTTGCTCAACACCCGAGGCACCAAACTGATGCTCGAACTGAGCAAAACATTCAAGAAATTGGCCGTAAGCATAAATTGAGTTTACTCTTTTCATTTGATGTTGTTGTTGCTGTTGATGATGGTGGTGGTGGTGGTGATGATGCTTTAAAGCACTATCTTTCTTGTCGGCTCTCTTTTTGCATAATTTATCAATAATTGATGTTTTGCAGCTATTTTGCTATGTGTCGACGTCATACTGTCACCTGAATGAAAGATTGCTTATGGAAAAACCGTATCCAGCACCAGCTGATCCGCATCGTATCATTAAATCGATTGAATGGCTTGACGAGGAAGTTGTGCATGCAATGACCAGGCAGTACGTGTGCTTATTTATTCATTGTCTATTTTAATTTTCAGCTTTCGATAAACAAGTATTCATTACATGTTTTTATGTGTAGGATTCTGGGCAATTTCCCAAATACGTATGCGTTTACAAAGTGTCTGTCGGAAGCGTTGGTTGTCGAACAAATGGATGAAATGCCAGCCGTTATAATGCGACCATCGATTGTGATTCCAATTCGATATGAACCGATACCCGGCTGGACAGACAATATTAACGGACCAACGGGTTTGTTAATTGGCGCTGGCAAAGGTGTACTTCGTTCGATGTACTGTAATTCAAGTAGCTACGGTGATTACTTGCCTGTCGATTATGCCGTTAATGGAATAATGGTTTCGTCTTGGAACTTTGTCTACAACAAGTAATTTCATTTTTTCCCACACATACACACATGCACTGTGTCGATACGACACACATATTTTTCATATATATGTATATAAATAAATCGCAATTTAATCGGTGGGTTTTCGTTTCTGATCATCATCAACAATACAGAGATTTTAGCCGTCGTGTTTATCATTTAGTGAGCTCGGCTGAAATCAAAGTTTCTTGGAAGGAATTGATTGATTGTGGTCGTTGGATAATATGTAACAAATTACCCTTAAACGGAGTCGTTTGGTATCCAGGCGGATCGATGAAGAGCAGTCGCTTACATCATAACATCTGCTGTATACTATTCCATTGGATTCCCGCTATTCTGATCGATTGCTTATTGTTCTGTCTTCGATATCCGCCTGTGTGAGTAACGATGCATGAAAAGCACATTTTTCTACTCTTACTTCTTTTTCTCCTTTTTCGCCTCAATATTTCGCTCGTCCGCTCTCTCTCTCTCTCCCTTGCGCGCGCGACGATAATTGGCCAATTAATTAAATGTCGACGTTTTCCATCATTTCAGACTATGCCGTGTTCAGCGACGGATCCAAAAAGGTTTCGATGTATTCGAATATTATGCCAACAACCAATGGGACTTTGACAACAGTAATGTACTTTATCTGCGTACGATAATAAATAAAACCGAAGAACAGCGATACGCCATAGAGGATAAACGTATGTTAACCATTTGAAAAGAATTACATACATAGATAGAGTAAACGCAATGAAATGGCATTTATTTTTCGATTTGTTTTTTTTTCTTTCTGCTCTTTTTGCTCCAGAAATCGATATGTACGAATACTTTGAGCACTGTATTCATGCGGCCCGACTATATATTCTAAAGGAAACGGATGACACCATTCCAGCGGCAAGACGTCACATGAAAGTGTACGTGCCTCATCTCATTTTATATTCAAAACGCATTTTATACGTTACACAATGACATTATTTGCGAGTTAATCAACTAAATCAATTTGATTGTTCATGTTCTTCTTCTTCTTCTTCTTCTTTTTTCTTCCGCCTCTTATTTGGGACCATTGCAGAATGTACGCTGTCGATAGAATTGTCCGGTTCTTGTTCCTTGGCCTATTCATTTACTATGTGGGTGGAGCAATATTCGGTTCGTTTTTCTCGACAAGCTCAGTGATGATAGCAGATTCCATCGTTGACACATTGGACGCAAATGTGTCAGCATAAAATTGTGTTAGCTCATAAGATTTAAAAAATTGTTTTTCATATCATTAATACTACGACACTGCGATGTCTCTATAAATATAATCAAATACTTCAACAAGAATAATTCTTCTACGGGAACCAGAGAAAACCATTATTTAGTGCAATCGAGACCTTATTTTATGATTTTCTTTTTGTAATTTTAAATCGGTTTTAAATCGTTGGACTCTTTTAAAATCGAATAAAAATCAAGTGTATGCGGATATTGTAACCAAAATTGCAAATGATTTTATGGTTTCAATCAATTATGTTACAATAATAAGTCATGAACCTCTTTCAGAAGGTGATGTGTATGAATGAACTTGTGGGTAAGTTTTCTTCTCTTCCAGTGGATAAACCATATATGCAGCCATGGTAATAAGTAATTTGTGGCGTTGTAACTTATGAAAAAGAAGGGAGAGAAAAAAAAACGCCACTCGAATTTATGTAATTAAATCACGAATTCAATTTGCCCGAAATTTAGCGCTGGCAATGGCATAAGTAAGTGGCACGTTCTTTGTTCGTTAACGATGATTCACTCAAGTGGTTATGTTGATGACACATTTTAAACGAGTATGTGCGAGACTTATCGAAGCGATGAACGCAAACTAGAGTACATCCTACATATATACTTTTCTGTCGTAGTTTTTTTTTGCGTTTGTTGTTTAATTTTTATAAAGAAATCAAATATTTAGATGATATCGCGTTGAAACACTTGAAGCTATTGTGTTGTAATTTTGTAAATAAGCAGAAAAACGTAACAAGTAATCAAAATAATGTCTTCAACTGTGTAGCATATTTGAATGGCACCGAGAGTACAAGATGCCAAAGTGGAATGAGTACAAAACTTGGAATGAGTGCCACGATGGCTGCGATATATATGAGTGTGTGTGTGTGTGTGTGTGTGTGTGTGTGTATGAGAGAGAGAGAGAGTGTCTGTGTGAGCGAGAGTGTGTGTTTGTTTGCCGTGTGTGTTCGCATTAGTGTGTCCTTAGAGCTGTTTAATGCAGCCCACTTTTGAGAATGCTTATTTATTCATTGGTATTAGAGCAAAGGCAATTAAACGGAAAATCGCGCTCTCTTCGTTTGATTCCTACGATCAGATTAATAGTATGCCAAAGCAAAAACAAAGCAACCATGACGCGCTGAACTCAACCGACAATGTGCATACAACGTGCAATAACATGATGACGGCAATAACGATATTTGAATTGCCTACGTTTCTCTGTCTCTCTCTCTCTCTCTCTCTCTCCTTTTCACTTGCCGTCACAATCGTCTCATCTACCTTTCGTTTGATGATTATGCGAATCGAATGAGAGGCAGCAACTTTATACCGCCGTAATGATAGTGAACGGGAGCGAGTGAGTAAAAGAGAGAGAAAAAAAAACTCAACTGTCGGAAGATGATGGAAAATGGAGATGAAGAAAAAGTGGTTTTTCATCTCTAATGTGTTGTATGTGTATGATGCTGTGTTTGACGCGGTTTTCACAAACTTATCGCTCTTATCACAACAATAGAGGAGAAAACCCGTTGTATTTAGACACCGAAATGGGATCACTTGGCGAAGAGACAGAAATATACATACGGAGGCAGAGACAGAGAGAGAGAAAACGACGAGATGAACGTGCTCTCCGGCTTAACTTAACTCAACTTAACGATAACTTTCAACAAGATATTTATACGAAAGTTCTAATGAATGCTGCTTGTGTTTGTGTTCCTTTCGCCTCTTATCATATATGCATTTTAACGGGAATCCGTGTGTATGTTTGTGCGCGTGCAAGTGTTTTTCCATCGGCCTCATACATTCATATAATCATATATATATTCGAGAGGAGAGGAGAAATTCATTCAGCCATTTCATATATAGGCAAATGTGAGAGTCTTAATCTTAATGCTTTGGCTGATGCTTTACACGCTTGATTCGCTCGAGTTTATGTATGTTGTCGTTGTGCTTAGATTAACATGTCTGACAATCTTATATGTGCAATTCAACAAGAGAAACATTTTCCTAATTCCCAACAGCAATGTGATTTGGGTGGCGATGGTGCCTTGATTAATCCCTTTCTCCTCCTTATTTCTGCATCATAACAATGGGAAATGAAGACGTAGGAAAAAATGCCGCGCTTGAAATTGCCAATTGAGAAAAATTACAGATTTGCATGAGTGACTTAATTTTTTTTTTGTATGTGTATGGGTATGGGTATGTGTGTTGAATCCCATCACCTTACATGCTCTATTCGTTTCTTCCATGATGTTAAGTGTGTACATTATAATGTTTTTTTGCCACTTATCATCGTGCCGAAATGAATGAAGGTGTTTGTGCAATGCGTGTGTGTGTCATTTTGCATAAATGTTTCTACACGCACTCGCATGCACGTAATGAGTTTTTGTTAATAAGAATCAGTGCTGCGGCTGCTGTTGCTGCTGCAAACACCACATTTCGATTAGATAAGATGTTTTCTTTGCCTGACCCGCTCCACTTTGCGCATTTTGTTATGCCATTTATATTCATCAATTGTTAAGTGTTGAGGTGTAACCATGTTACGAGCCATGCATACAACATTCTATCTGAGCTTTATTCCTACATTTCGGGCGCACGTGCAAATGTTTCTCTCTCTCTCTCGCTCGCTCTCATTCACGCTCCTTCGCATCGAACAATGAACATCGTATTGAGCTGAGCATACATGGAAATTATCCCTTAACATCCGACTTCGACTTTGCACTCCAAAATTAACATCTAATCAGAAGTGTTTCTGTAGCCTACATGTTGGCTACAACCATTTTTCTTTTCCTTTCGGGGCCAACCTTTCTTTCGCCGATTTGCCATATCATGCCATTGGAAAATGAACTGTGCATGCAGTACAGTTTGGCCGATTTGATTAGAATTTCCATTGCCTTATGATTGCGGCAGAGATTTGCTGTCAATGATTCTGAACATCGATTTCTGGCTGTATGTGAGTGTGTATGTGTGTTTGTGTTGGTTTCCGCAATGTTATCGCTAGATGATATGACCTTGATAGCGAACAAGCACAAGCTTTGACTCTTCAATAGAGTCTAACTACATCACAATAACAATTGAACCGGAATAAGTTCGTTGTTCTGCTGTTGTTGGTTTGTGAAACTCACTGTGTTTGGCATCTTCGCGCGCTCACTTGGTATTTACGAAAATGCTCATGATGACATTTGCATTTGTAAGGCAATTGATTTTGATTCTATTCCGGCTAAAAGGTCCATATATTTTTGGATTATGGGTGAGCGTGTGCGTTTGTGTGTATGTGTGTGTGTGTATGTGTACGCGCGAACCAAAGAATCCGACTCCAGGCTCAACGTTGTGCCGGATCGCGTTTACTTGTTTATAATTCATTGATAGTGAATCTTAATACCCCCATAAACTTTCCTTTTGTCACACACGCACATTGTGTTGGAAGTCGCGTCACATGGTGGCAATCTAACAAGAAGATTCACTAAATTAATTCCTCTGCATTATAGGAATTTGTATGTTTGTTTGTGCGTGCGATCCGTTTTCTCTATCCATGAGACGAGTATGAACTTTCTGATGCTCTTTCCAATGTTGTAACGCTCGCGACTTCTTTTTCTTCTTCTTCTTCGTTTTCGCCGTTACAGCCGTTACAGCCGTTACAGTTGTCGTCTTCTGCATTTTCTTCTCGCTGAACGAATGTGTGTTGTTCGCAATATTCACGCATAAAGTTTACATTTAAATAGACGAAATGAATAATAGATGTCGATTTTCTTCGTCACAGCGCACATCAATCGTATTTCACATGATGAGTCAAGAAAAATGTCACGGTGAAAAGCAATAGAAAAGCAATAATTTTTCCGAGAGGACCCGAATCGAATCTGAATGGTGAATGGTGTGAAGATAGAGTGGGCGCACGAACGAATGAGCGAGCAAACCAACAATCGAATAAGATTCATGTCTCGAGTGGAGTGCACACGGAATTTTTGTGTGGAAGTTCTGAGTGATGGAGTTTCTCTCAAACGAAGACGAAGAGAGAAGAAGAGAGAGAAAATGAGAAATGTGAAGAATTTTCACCGCCACTTTGCCCATCACACACTGAATCGGAAAATGAGTTACAAACAAAAGGCTAAGTGTTAAAAGTGTATTCTTAATCTTCATGCCTCCTGTCGCCATACAATACTCGTGCCCAAACTCTTGTTGTTACGGGTAATGTAATTTTTTTCTTCTACAGGCTTTCCTTTCATTATTGATCTAGTTCTTGCTGTCATTCCACCGAGCATGGCATTGTTTTCCGTGTGTACGAGGCGCGTTTTGTTTGTACCAAAATATTTTTCGTGTGTTGACAACGTCTGCCATTAAATACGCTACTTGCCCGTCAAAGTGATGTGTAATGGTTCTGCATTCCGTATCATGTTAGATTGCTTTTCAGTCATTCTCTCGCTTTCTTTAACACTCACAGGCCCAGAGCGCGATTCCACCGCCTCGTTACAATCTATTATCATGATTGTTATTCGCCATTTGAATGTGGGGGCTTGTTTGTGTGTGCCTGTGTGTGTTTGCTTTTTTTCCTTTTATTTATCGCGTATTTTACGTTCTGTATTGTGTCATACGAATATGTTGGGACACGGCACATACGATTACTGTCATTGTCGCTTGCTCTCTCACTTACTCACCTACTCTCTTTGTTGCGCCCGCGTCTCATGTTATTTTCAACAATAGAATTTCTGTGTGTCGTTATGTAAGTAAAAAATAATGTGATGAATGATGTACGCAATTTCTTATACGGATTTCATGTTTTTTTCTGCTTCGCAAGCACTTATTTACACGTTTCACATTGTTCGCAACGGGTACGCATTGTTTGTCTCATCCAATAGAAATAAACAATTCCTTGTACCGTGAGTTGCGCTGAGATTCGGATGTTTCTTTGTGGATTCAAATCATATCTGGCGACAATATGTATGTGTGTGTGTGTTTTGGAAACAAAAAAGCAGAAATTTCACCCACAATGTCATCCGTAAAATACAACATAAAACACTCTATCGATGTTTCATTCAAACAAATGTTTCACCAAACGCACATATCTATTCGAATTAAATAAACGACGACGTTTTTATTTTGTTCTTACATGTTTTGTACGCTGTTTCGCGATTGTTGCGCTCTTCATTTGCTAAATATGAAGACGCGCGTGGTAACGCATAATGATAAAATAGGATTCGTTCGCAGAATGAGCCCGGCAAAGAGTTGGCAAAAGCGTGTCTCGCGTATGAAAAACAATATCTTTTTACATTACAAACGCAATTCTCTGAGGTTAAAATGGAAACAGAGTGAGAGAGAAAGACAGAATTTACTTATTTTTTTGCAGTTGTTAATTTATTCTCAACAAACACACACAAAATGTAATGACGTGCTTTGTTTCGGATTGCTCCCTTATCATCTCATTTCTCTCGTTCGTTTGCTGATTTACATTTATTACACAACGAATTTAACCACAAAAGCATCGCACCGTACTAACAATATTATTAAATATCACCTCAGGCGCAATTCAAATATAAATAAACATATATGCACTTTCTTTTGCGGCATCTTTTATTTACGAATTATAAAAGGGATCACTTGGCAAACACGACAAACGCACACACACACACACACACACACACACACACACACACAATGATAATAATTCGAGAATAAAAAAACAATGTGAATATATTTCGTGTCGCTTGTTCTACTGTTTTGTTTTGCTGCCATAAATGTGTAGCAAAAGAATAAAAGAAAAACATTGATTTCAAGCGAGATAATATTTCTTTTTTTTCGCGAGACGAATTTCTGTTGTTCTGGTATTCTAACCCAACGCGTCAAAAATGCAAATTCCTAGAAACTGCTCGTTTTAATCGCAAACATTTAAATTGAGCTGAAAATTCTAATTTCCATGACCTGCATCTTACTTCTGTTACCAAATGAACCACGTACGAACTATATAACTAAGACTTATTATTTTTATTATTGAATATGAACGGAGGGCACACATGACTTTCCGCCATAACGGCATGTTTATAGGAAAAGAAAACACAAAATGAATTTGAATTTGGTGGTTTGGTAATTTTTGCATTGCTTCCTGACAGGAACCGTCTGCAACATACAAAATTTAGTATTGTGTTACAGTTGCACAGGAAAGCATATACTTAATGACCCTTGAAGAGTCCTTATGAAAATGGTATTGCATTCAAACCACTTAGTTCACATTTTGTTCTGTTTTTTTTTCGTTGTGGTTGATACATTCGTATTAACGATTGTATTGTTTAAGTTCGGTTGCATGGTCGTACACGGACAAATTCGAAATCAATGCGAGCAGCGGGAACTATGAAAGAGAATATTTGCGATGGAATGAAATCAAAATTGCAAATCGGTCTAAATTGAATTTGAAATTTTTGCAACATTTGCCTGCAGGCCAAGAGGAAAATCACACCTGGCTCACATTTTGTGGTGTGTGAGTTTTTTTCCGCTCATTGCAAAATAATAAAAAAAACAAGGCGCTCCTTATTTTCTGCTACTAAATTGCGTTTGTTTAAGCAAGAAGGCTAGAATTTTCACATTCTTTGTTAAATTTTCGTTCATTGTATTTACGGGTGTGAGTATACACAAGATGAAACGAAAGAAGAAGAAGAAGAAGAAAAAAAATGGTACACATTGTGCGCAAAAATATTAATCGCATTGTCAGTATTGTACCCTCTTAGCGAAGTATAAGCGAGTCGCTCAGCACATGATTCGGCGAAGGTCAAAATGTAGTTTTGCTTTAGCATTTTGTTTTTCTCTCTTCGTCTCGTTATATAAATCTCAAAGGCTTTTTTGTTTGTTTGCACCGAAAAAAAAGAACAATAATTATGGCTTTCGTTGGTGGTGTTTTTTTTCCCGCTCTTTGTTCAGTTCAGTGTCGAGTACTTTTAGAATAATAATAATCATAAAGTAGATGTTGGTGGTTGCGTTGATGCCCCTGCAACAAAACTGCTCGTCTACTTTCTCACTTTGGCCCCATCCAGTGCTGTTAAAAGGAACATTAAGGAAAAAATCTTTTCCGTCGTCGTTGTTTATGATTGTGTTATGTCTGCCCCGCGATCTTCATTCACGCTGTATGGACGCGAGAAAGCGAGAGATTTTCCCATTGCACACAAATCGCAAGGTCCATTAAAAGCGGTGAGAAAAAAGAATTGCTGTACTGTTTTTTTTCTCGGTTAATTCTTGTGCACGCTTGAAATTCACAAGTGGAACAGTCGTTTGAAATGAGACAGAAGAAGAAAAAAAAACGGGACCACGCACACGTTACACACTAGTACGAAAGGAAAAATTATTTTGGTGCGCGCACAAACGAAATAATAAAACAAAATACGTAACCAAAAATGCCGGCCATTGTAGCGTCGAAATGACGAACCAAATGCGAATGAAAATGAAAATAAGTAAATGGTTTAAAAGTAAATGTAATTAAAACTGTAAACTTACCGCAATTCACCAAAATTTGTAAAAGTAAACCGATGCTAAGGACTCGCCGCCACAAACTACTGCAATTGCTATTGTTCGCCTTCATTTTGTAAGTTTTCGTGTGATGGTAACTGCTGCTGCTGCTTTTAAATTCTCTATAATTTTGTGGTGTCGACGCGTTGCTCTTCCTAATTTTCATCATTTATTTTAATAATTTATTGTTATTATTATTGTTCCTTTTCTCGAGATTTTGCACACCTTTTACTCGTTTTTATGTTGTTTTTTTTTCTCTCTCTCTCTCTCTCTCTCTCTCTCTCTTCTCGCTCTTTTTTTGGCTTTTAAAAATCCTTGGCTCGTTATGAGAATGCACTTTTATTTCTATTTATGTATTAAAGAGACGATAGTACTCTGTTGTAGTTCTGTTTTTCACGTCTACTGCATTTGAAACGATTTGATTTCGGTTTTGCGGGCACCTTTTGTTATTATTCACTAATTATCGCGTTCAAACACCGGCTGAAGTTGTCCTTTCTACTTCCTTAAATGACAATATCACTGAGAATTTTAACCGTTTTGGATGGAATGCAATTTTAGCACTGAGTACGTATTGATAGTTGGATGACAATGCACAGAATGTTTCCGTTGGAAGAAATATTTGTGTGTGTACGTTTTTTTTTCTCCACGTCACATGTGTGTGTGTTACCTTTCACATGCGCTTCAAAACAACGCAATCAATTATCTGTAGCCAATTGTTTTGAATATGCACATACTCTCATGTGTTTGTCTGGATTTTGCATCGGTTGTATGTATCAAAGTTCCGTCTCGTTCGCTGCAAAAAAAAAGAGGAAAAGAGAAAATGTACAAACAACATTAGAACACACATGATACAAAACGGTGAAAAAAAAGAAGCAGCAAAACCATTGTTCGTCTGCTACATTTGTTGAAACAAATGCACTTTAGCCTTTTGAAATTTTAAACAAGCTAATGATTACAAAGTCCTCGCCACACGGAGAGCGAGCATAATTCGAAGCAGCACACATCGACACTGCAGATAAAACCGAAACGAAAAATAAATAGTTTAATCATTTGTTTATTATGTGTCATTCGAATGGGGGAGTTTTTTTCGTCGTCGTCGTCGTCGTCGTCGTCTTCCTCTTCTTCTACTACTCTCTTCACAGTGTACGCTCATCGTGGTTTACATTGATGTTATACATGTTTTGATGCATTTCCCTGTGTTCAAAAATTGCAAACGTGTATGCGCTCGCGCGCATTCGCGGGGTGCACATCTGAAAATGTCTTTGTTTCATGAATTCTCCCATTTGTCTGTTACCAAAACTGAATAAAATACAATAGAATCACGGTCTGTAAATATTTATTTGCATCTATTGAATTGCGCTCGACCCGACATACACACGGGCACTTATGCCAGTGCACCTTGATACACACGATACGCCTGCTCGATGCTCGATTCCATTTTAGAACTTGGGATTGTACAATGTACACAATCTCCATCTCTCTTCACGTTGCACAACGTCTCTTTCGTTCAGACGTTTTTTCCTGACATTTGTGCAAGCCGAGTGAACATGTCGAGAGCGAAAGAGAACGAGAACGAGTGAATGTGGGGAGGAAGAGAGCGGCTTTTAAGTGAATTCCATTTCAAAATGAAAATTGAAGTGTTAAAGTAAATAATGCATTTTTCTTCTAAATTACGTTCGGTTATTGTAGCTAGTTTTTTGTTCGCCTGTGTCGCATCATTTTCCACACGGCCGTGTCATCTTTATGGAGTTGAACTTGATTTAGCTTGGATGATTGTTTTCCATGTATCCATTTACTCAAATGATTTATTCGAAACTGTCATCTTTTAGCGCTTACGAAAACGCGCTCGCTCACGCTCTCTCTCCTTGAAATCTATCCGCAATTTCTGCGACACCACACACACATTTCTCGTTCATTATTCTTCAGTTCTATCTCCTTCCACCCTTCAGTGTTCTGCGGCGACAGCAGCAGCTCATTGTGTCGTTGAGTTTGAGCGAAACGCATATTTTCCGTGGGTTTTTCTCCGGTTATTAGGTGCCATCAACTCGGTTTCTTGCCTTTTCCTGTTGTTGTTGTTGCGCATTGAGTGTGTTTGCGTACTCATTTCACATTATCTCATTGAAATGCCGAGAAAAACGGGCGCAAATCTTATTTAGCTAAGTGAATCAGTAAGTTGAACGTTTTTCAATACGAATTTCAACTGTACATACTATGGGTATCTATCGTTGTGATGAATGAATTTTCACCGAAAGAGGATCGCACCAAGACATTGGCTTTTGTTCTTCCATCATCAACGCAATTCGCCAATTTTGAAGTTCAAATTCAAACGACACTGCACTCACTGTCTTGCTCACTGTTACCAGCGCACAAAATCACATTGAACCGACAAAGACAGATGAAACGAAATCCTCGTTGGTTCGCTGTGTTTTGCTTCCAATATTTGAATAAATATTTACTTTGCCTTAAGTGGATACTATTTGTTAATGTCTGTATTTTTATGTGCTTAGATGTGATCCAGTAAACAATTCATACAGCACTAATCATCATCATCGTCGTCTTCATCAACTTTCAGTATCGTCAATGTTGTTTTCATCATCGTAACTCGTCGCTCTTAGCTCATCTTATCTCATCGCGCTGTCTATTTCTTTCTTTCTTTCTTCTGTCCCGGTGAAATTGTTGCGTTTGCGAGTACCAAACAAAATATACGAGTCAGATGTAGACTTTTGCTACCGTTTTTCCCATGAACCTCGTCCAATTCGGGCACTTTTTTTTGCACTCTTTGCACTTGGCGAGCTGGCTCAAACACACACGAACGCATTTTACTTTTCCATTATGCTGATTTTTCTTCCTTACCCACTAAAACAATATCTCTCTGGACGGAAAGATGATATATTGCTTGTTGTGTGCTGCTTACGCTTACGTTGCTTGACTTATGTTCACTTTTTATTTCCGTCCGGTAGTACACACCGGTGCCCATGTATGTTGCGAAAAGTGTCTGCCAGCGCTTGATGCTCTTGGCGCTCTGGCTTACACACACACAGACTTTAGAGTTTACAAATTCGAGAAAGAGATTTTAGTGCTAATCATGATCAAAACAATAACATTTATTGTGCTAATTTTCGTCGGCTCAAATAGATGAAACGAGGAAACATGTAATTCTTTAGCTCTTCTCTGCTTGTTTTCCATTACGTACTTGAGTTTATCCTCTCTCTCTCTCTCTCTCTCTCTCTCTCTCTCTCTCTCTCTCTCTCCCTTTGTTCTTTTTCCTGCTTTTTCACTGTGTGCTCCGTTTCGTTTCGTTGCGCGCATATCATACCGTGAGAGATTTTCCTTTTTTGAATATGGCCAACAATTTATCGTCATACTAATGTGTGTGTGTGTGTGTGTGTGTGTTTGTCTCCTGGCGAAAAAAGGAGGAATAGTGGAGCAGAGGATGGGATACTCTGCCACATCGAGATGCAGTGACGTACAAATTACTCTCAAGCCTTGAATGCATATTTTAGTGGGTAAATAGTCGCCACACACAGCATTCAGCGATTGTGTGTTTTAGCGCTGTCATGTTATGTGTGTATGTGTTTGGGATATATGTCTGAAATGTTGATGTGTTCATGTCACTAACAAGGGCAAGCAAACGTAATTCGTTCGTTTTGTATATTCAAACTCAAGTGTGCATCGTTATTCCATTATATTATCGTCCTGTTTTATTATATTATTATTTTCAGCGAACATAGTGTGTCTCCCTTTCTATCGTCCTCGTTCCTCTCCGCCTTCTGCATCCTTTTTTATTTCTTCTGCATCGGTTATGCCATTTTTATTCGGTATGTGTCCCTCTCTCTCTCTCTCTCTCTCTCTCTCTCTCTCTCTCTCAAAATTCATTTGTATTTTTATTTGGTTTCATTTCTTGTTGGTTTGAGAGCGAGCCAAAGAGAGGGAACACGAGAGTTAGTTTTCTTTGTGTTGTTTTTAATATCACAATATAATAGAGAGAAGAGAAACAAATTTATGGATGATTACATATGCATCCAAATGTTTTCCACATATGCGAGTATTTATTGTATGCATAGAAAATCCGTATCTTTTTTGGCTCTTGTTTTTCTTTCCCGATGTTTCTGTTTCACATTCACTTGCCCGTCGCTCTCTTTCATTCTCTCTCTCTCTCTCTGTCTCTCTCGTTTGCTATCGCTCTCTTTACACTATGAGCTAGCGCTCCCGATCTACGCTATGGAACTTATTTATATATGGACGAGAAACTTTACACCGTTGATAGAAAGTGTGTTTCGTATGTGTTACTATGCGGCTGACATGTTTTGCATTTGCTATTGCTATCGGTATTGCCATTGCCATCACCATTGCACTCTGTGTATCTCTCATTCATATTTGGGATATAGCTATAATTATATGTATATTGTATCCGTATTTATTGCGGCTCTGTCTATTTTTAGAGCCTAGTTTTCGATGGAAGAGAAATACAAAAAAAATGTCAAAATACGAGATCTCGTTATGTTTAGAATTTGTATACACGTATGTTTTTGTTTGTTTTGATTCGTTCTTATTTGGCCGTGCAGCTCATTCACAGTGAGAGAGATGAGACAAAATGTGCACATGCGGATACAATGTGAATCACACTGTTATTATTATTATTGTTGTTGTTTTTGTTATTCTTTGTCTCTTTTCTTTTTTCTTTCCACAGTTTTTGAGTGTGTATTTCATTTGATTTAACAGTCGATTCCGTTTTGGCTGTGATATAAGACACACTTTCATTCATGCTTATGCTCGTGCATACCGCTCGATCGTCATCTGTATGCCGTAATATAAACAATCCACCGATCCAACTGTGAAATGCGACGAATAATGTTGAGAATACAAATAGTGCGGAAAATTGGTAATGAAATGTAAGAAATGTGACGATTTAACACTTAAATCGATGTCACTCCTTCGACATACTATTCTCTTCTTCTTCTTCTTCTTCTTCTTCTTCTTGCTGTTGCTGAAATATTATCTTGTTACGCTTGATCTTTTTCCCGTAAACGAATCGGGCGATGAAACAATTTTCAAACTATACTTTTTTTCCGTACTTTTCAATTTGACTGAAGAATTGGTAAAGAAACCGCCTCGTTGCCGTTAGAGAGACCAAAAGCAATTTGCGAATGAACTGAAGGGAGAAAAAAAGAACCAAAGACGATATTTTATTGCTGTACATTAAAGGCGGCAGTAATAAAGAGAGCGGTGAATGAGTTGCGCCAAAAACTATGTGTGCGAGTGCATGTAACGGTAGAGCCGAAATGTCAGGTTTGCCATTTTATAACAACCGCTGTGAAATTAGTGAATTTATTTACTTTAGATTTTCCCAGTATTTTGTCTTTTCACCGTGGATGAGGCGACCATTAACAGCACAAAACAGTGTACTGTCACATTGCCGTCTGCTAGTGCTCACCACTATTATTTTACTTCCTTTTGTTTTTAATTCCATTCTCATCCCATAATTTATTTCTCTGTATATTTTTGTTTTTTTTTTATTTGTTGGTTGGTTAGCCAGTTTCGGCTCGTGTGTGGCACTCACTCCGTTTTCACGGATGTGCAACGTGTGGCACACACTCAACCTTCTTCACATATATGCACATTGCACACTGAATGAACCGTATTTTATGTTTGTACCAATTTCCACTAATTCTGGACAAACTCAATTCGACCAAAAATTGAATGATGACACAAAAATGTACCACTGCATTTCGCCATGACAACTTTATGTGAATCATTCTGATTCTACGTTTTTTTTAATTATATCAAGTGCAG